AGGTCTAGGTGGCCGCAAAATTAATGAATAATGATCATTTTATTTGCAACGGATTATGCAACGAAATAACTCTTTGTTCTGGTTTAATTTTGATTCAAAGTGTAATTCGAATAACGTCGATGCGATGTTTACAAAAACCCAAGCAAAGAATATATTTAGTATGCTCGAATGTTACAACGTGTCCGAGAAATATAACGGTAGATTTGAATACCTGTATAGAAAAGCATTTGTTTGTTTTGCTTCTATATGCTTTATAATGTTATAGTAAAGTATATACTAAGCTCAAGATAGGTTAAATTTGTTTCTCATATGGGGAAACCTTAGAAATTAATATGTTTTACTGAATGTAGAATTATGTTTAACAGAAAATTATTAATCCTTAATCCAAAAACAGTATCAATCCTGATAAAACATTGAATTTATTTTTGAAGCGACTATATTCGAAACGAATTTATGTTTGCTTTCGTCCTTGGTCACGAGATTCCTTTTGTTCGAAAGGATTGCGAAACGAATAAACATGGCATAGTTGTCAGTGTAATCAGCTTTCAGGAATGATTCACAGCTTTCCCAGTTCACCGACCAAGATTTATTTCCTCTCATCGTTGTCTCCATTCGCTTGGCGTTTTAACCCAGACCCGAATCGAACCACAGAATTTGCATCTTCCAAATGCAACAAAATTTTTATTTACCAGCTTCCTATCAGTGATTCGAATTAATTGCAGTCAACAAGATAAACAACTTAAGCTTCACAAAATTATCTTCATTAGAATTATCTACGAATATTACAACTGTCGAAACTCAAATGAATTCAGATTTCAACCTAACCGTTGACTACGTCCATTTTACATTGCAAAAATCAAATGAGAAAAATTCGCTTGAAACGAAGTTTCAGCATACGTTCAGCGATATCAAACATCGGAGCAAACATATAACAAACATCTCAACTAGTTCATTCAATAGATTGTTTCCTTTCCAAACAAAAGGCAGACAAATGGCAAGGAAAATCGTCAGACAAATCACGTCTGGTCGACATAAAGGTAAAGATCGGATCAAGATCGAATTAAGATCGCTATCATCGGGGCACGAGTTCTCTGAGCTAAGCTGGCTGAAGAGCTAACTCGATCGGGGTAGCGACGGGATCAACCGGCTAGCAACGCAGCGGGTGGGTATCGCGAGGAAGCGTAAATATAACGAATTTACCAGCAATGTCGTTAACTTTATCAGACTCGCGGCCAGCGGTATTTCATTGGCGGAGATCTCGTTGGTGTTCCCTTCGCCGGCGGAAACGGAGCAGCCGAGGCTTGCGGGGAACCAGAACCGACCCGAAGCGGCCTGGCAAACGATATAAGGTTACTACTGGCAGGATTTGGTCCGCAGTTCCGTGTGTTTACGTGCCATACACAAAGCCGGGCTGTTTGTACAACTGTGCACGGCCGACGTATCCGCGCGGAGAGAATGCGCTCCCGGTGTGGTTCTTGCGACGGCACGTGCGCCGTCGCGCCTGTACTCGTACGAATCGAATCCTGATACGTGCCCGCGATGCCAGTTCGCAACCCCACGCTGCTAAACAGAAGGCAATACCGCTTCTGCTGTGTACGCGTCTGTATACACATGTTTGTTTGTATGAGTGCGACCGATCTTATCTCCGTATGTGGGTCACACAGCCGAGGGAAGCGAACTCGAGCCACAGCGAGCAGGAAACTATGCATTCGGAACCGGACGAGACTTTCAACGAAGGACGAAAGAGAACGCTGAAAAAGGAGAGAAATCGTGGTTAGGAGAAACGGGGCGGAGGAGGCGAGTCAAGAGGTTAGACCGGAGATGGTGCCTAGCTCTGATATCTCAAATCCGTTTCTGGCTCGTGCCGCCAACCACGGATAACCGTCGATGTCGAGATCTTCCCCGTCTTTCCCTTATCCTTCTTTTTCCCCGTTTCAGTTGCTTCCTTGCGCGTAACCTTCGCTGCGTGCAATCTCCGGTGGAATATTGAACTGGGGAATATGGACGTAATGCGGTTAAGTGGTATTAATTTATAGGTGTACAATATTTATATAATTTATGTAATAATGGGATTTAAATATTTTATTTATTTAATGTCTTCTTTTGTGGATTTTCGACCTTGTTCTCTTCAAATGCAATTTGTTTCGCTGCTATCTTTTCCAAGCTTTATTCGTTTTGTCCTGCCGCTTTTTTCAATTTCAATCAATCAATCAACTTAATTTTATTCAATCCAATCTGCCGTCCGTAATATCCAATCGTTTATCAAACATGAATATAAAAAGTAAACAAGAATTACATTGCCGTAGGTTATAAATCAACAAAATGATTGGGTAGATTGAATTAAACATTAAATGAAGTAACGTAGTAATTACTATGCCGTTTAAGTAATTACTCAGTAGCTGCTTTTAAATATATGTCTATTTTACATGCTGCGAGCAATTAATTTCTTAAGGCACTGTATTTATTTGCGATTGCTGTATTACTTTGTCATTACGGTGTAAAATGAATTGCATATTTGTATGGGAACAATAAATACATTTTCAATAATTCATCTAACTAAACTTTTTCTGCAATGAAGAGAACTTCAACTGAAGTTAGCCCGAAATCACGAAAAACCAGTGCAGCGGCTATAACCAGTACATCAACCCTAATTGTAAGGATGGAAGGTGCTGACAACGACAAATATTCAAAGTACTCGAGCCAAACAATCGTTCGTTTCCTATAAACGGCTTGAATTCCGGTTCACCGAAGTGCCGAAGTGGCAGAAAAAGGCAAACGACGATCGTTATTACCAATTACCAAACCGTTAATTCTATTTACTTCATCGCCAGGACGAGAAACGATTTCGGGGAACTGCCACCGGCTCGTAAATCACGCTCGAGCACCATTATCTGTCTCATACATCGAGCCGATGAATCGCGACGGCTATTATCGGGGCGATAGAAGCTGGAGAAGTTCGCACAATAACGCGTAATGGCCCGCGCAGTTTCGCCAAAGGTCGATAAAGGCTAATTAGCAGAAATCCTCGTCTCAGGTGGTCCTTCCGCCAATTCCTAATCACTTCAACGACATTGAGAAGGACGTCTCGAGTATTTCGGAAGTTCAATGATCGCCGATGGCGGCGCGCACCGATACCTGGCCCAAGTTCGTCTGGTACAATTCCGATCGATTCGGATACCTGGCGCGAAATATTTACCAACAACTCCATCAAGGGTACGCTAGCGTTCGATCATCCACTGGCACACGCCCCGCCATAGTTCGCTTTTCATTTAAAATTGTATATAATAAGATTGAGAAAATTTTTTGATAAATGAAAAAGTGTGCTGTGAAAAATAAGTTACTTCTAAATTTTCGATTACCTAGTTACTTGAAAAGAGCGCGGGACTTCTTTTTCTACTTGCAAGTTATTAACGACAAAATGTCTCTGGCGAGCATATCTGTGAAGGAAGCCGTAAAGCAACGGGTTAACGCTACAGAGGAATATTGCAATTATTGGCAGGTGATCGGGCACCGGTCACCATAAAAATCCAATACTGGGACGAGCAACCGTACCAGCAGATAATGTTCCACTATACATTTCGATTTGCAGTAAAATATTCTCCGGTTTGATTCGAAATGGACAATCAAGGGAAACTCGGGAAATTATGGGGGAGGAGTGGTACGCGCGCGAATCCCCTTGGTTCCAGTATTCGCAGGAGAATTTTATTCGAAATTGTAATATCCCAGGTCCGAACGCGCAAGCTGAACGTCAGGTATCCGCGTCGTTAGAGCAATAAAAACGAGGGGGCCCCCGAAGTGCACCTATTAAAATCGGCGAAACAATAAACGCCGTGAATTGGCGAGCGGGTCGGCGGGCGCTCGTTCGTTCGTCGTTCCCGGCGATTGGCCCTGTCAAATTTCACGTTCCGGTCGGTCCGTGGGATTAGACGACCGCACCGTAACGCAGGAAATAAGCAAAACGCTGAATCGGATCGACAATGTGTCCGTCCGGCCATCGGCACGCCCCGCCGAAAATAATGATTTGACCGGTCCCGCGACAATGATCACCGGCAATGTCCGGGACAGCTCGACGCGGTACGAAACACTGACCGTGCCCAATGATTTTGGCTACAATGACGGACCGTCACCGAATGCGACACGACGCGGCGCGATGCGGCCGACTGTCGTTGATGTACGATCCGATGCACGTCGAATGTTTGTCACCGCGCGAGCTACCATGCGAACGGACACCTACCGACACCTCGGCCCAATTAATCAATGTTAAGTGAACACTCACCGGGCCGAACTGTTCAAAGTAGTTTTTGACGTCCTCCAGCGTCGTCGGTGCCGATAGTCCACCGACGAATATCTTCTTTGTCCTCGTCACCATCTGCGGAAACAAGAAACTTGGATTAATAACGGGGTAACGCGTGAATAAGTTTAGTAAATGATAATCTTCTGCATTATAATGATCAGTGTAAATATTTGAATATTTGAATATTTAAATATTTGATAATTGCTAGTGTCGTTCATTGCAGATATGTTGAAGTAGAAGATTGTTTCGATATCATTGATATTCGACGCCTATCGCACAAATGAGTGTCGGCGTGAATATGTAAAAGAATTATACAGAGCGATGAGAAAGAGGATTGCAAACTTGAAAAGTGGATAGCACTTTCTAAATAAAATTAGTATTTTCGAAGTTACAAAGAACTTTTCGTCTCGGCTAAAACGGGTTGCCTGTTCGCATCTGACGTTCTAACAGGATAACAAGAGATTATCTACCTTCGTCACGCTTTATACGGACAAATCATAATACAGGATTATCTTGTCATTAGGGCTTCACAGAGGCAACATGAGTTACAAATCCTTGCAATCGAGCAATAATTATGCACAGTTAATTTAAGATAATCACAATACGGAAAGAATCGATTTCCTAAATCAAGAAATGGTAAAAGTATAATTTTTGTATCTTCCTTCAATTTATGGCTAAAAGTACTTTTCAAAATTTTAATCACATCATTTGTAACTACGAAGTCAGCGATACCGTTTACTTTCGAATGGTTTTTATAAACTATTATTGATCGCTGTGAGATATTCACATTTGGCAAGAGAAATAGAATGTTCGGTAAACAAAAACGATATTTATTTCCTGCTGGAAAGTGCGTCGAAACTGATTACCATATTTTCAATAAATTCCACAATCCGAGCGCCGGAACAAAATTTGATTCGAATAGTTCACAGTAGAGCGCGCGCAACAGTCACAAATACCTCGTTCATGAGAATCCCATCTGATGTAAGCCGAAGAAATAAGTTTTCCCCGGTCGGGGAGGACGCTTTGAAAAACTTTCTGCTTTGATCTACGACAATAAATCCTTAAATGGGCTGATACTGAACGACAAGCGACGTTTTCTTCCAGGGTGGGAAGTTCCCGAAGAAATTAAAAACTTTCCGTTTTCCTGAATATTTTCTTTGGTTGTGTTTCAACAGTGAATGTAATCGGTTCCAAATTTAATGGCTGAAAATGTCTCGAAGGAATTCACCGTGCGTTTCGAAACACATTTACGTCGCTTAGATCGCGTTGTCCGTGAAAACGTGATGGTAATGATACCACTTTCAAAGTGTGTTCGGGAAGAAAGGAATCGGAAGTCTGGTGTACGAAGAGGAAATGGGATGGACGACTGAAAAATAATACGGTCTTGTTTAAGAAATTGATAAGGAGATGATAAAATATGAATAGACTCCGTCGAGTGCGCCAGCCCGTTTCCATAGAAAGGATCCTTTCTCCACCGACATTTTTCATATTTCTTCGAATCAGTAATGTCACTGCCGATCTCCGACGTCGCCCAGTTACCATCTTTCATACCGAAAGCGGGATAGACGTTGCTACGTTCGACCGTCATCGATAAAACAATTAACGTCAATCTTCTGTACATTCATCGACTAAAATATTTTCTGAGTGAATTATAAAATAGGTAGATACACTTACAGTTAAGGTGTTCGCGAATTTACCTTAGAAATAGGGGAAACATGAAACTATTAATCTTAGAAATATGAATTTCTAATTCACTGATTATTTATCTTTAACACAAGTTAAAAATAATGTCATTTATAAAATCGTAATATTCTGAAAAATTGAATGCACCTTAGAAAAATGGATCTTTAGAAATCATCGGGCGTCTAATAATATTCAGAATAATTTGTAGTCTTGGAATATCTATTATATCTGAAAATGTTTTTAGAAAGAATAAGAACGAATCATAATTACGCCTCTGAGGATTCGCGTGTTTTGCTGATATCAGGTTTTCAGTTTTTTTCGACGCATATCTCCTTTGGAATGTACAGCGCGGAAAATTGTGCCGGTATGAGAGCGAAGAGCCCAGTTACGTGTTTCCCATATTGAAAAGTTTTTCGCAAGCAAGGGGAGTGAAGAGTATACAGCGTGTAGGTACAAGCTGCATTCGCGAGGAAATTTCAGAAACCATGAAAGGAAATTCGTTGTCGGCTATTGTCTGTAGGTTCTTATTAATATGAGCTTTCGATTCCTATGCTTTATTAATATTTTAGTAAATATTCCGTAAGGATCCTGGTGTCATATGTGCTGACTAAAAAAGTAAATAAAAATCAAGTTTTACGCATTTAATGCTAATGCTAATTTCACGATAGCCAAAACTATAGTAAACCAGTGGCACAACATCTTCAAAGAATACACGACTGTACCGCAACAATCAGAACAAACAACAGAATAAACAAATAACGCCTACGGTGGACGAAAACAACGCGACCCAGTTAAAATCCGCATGAAATTTTATCGCGCGGAAGCTTAATCGACAGAGAGAAAGAAAACAAGATCAAGCCAGAGCGGAGAAGAACAAGGAAAAGCCGACGTTCACGGGTTAACATCTTAATAACATGATTGCAACGTAATAAAGCTCGGCGCACAGAAAATTTCGTAGGGAGAGGTAGTTGCGGCGGTTTCGCTGGCTGGAAAAGAGAACGAGACATAAAAAGGGCGCAGGGTGCGGCGAGGGTTGGAGGATGCGCCGAGGGCAGAGGGGAGGGGTTGGTGGGGACCAGTGAATACAGCGGAAACGGCAGAAGAGGTAAACTCTGGTAATTTCAGTGATGGCTGGGCTTAGACCTCTCTATATCCGGTCAGTAACGCAAACCCCCAGGGCGCAAGTCCTTCCACCTCGTGGTTCTGAACTCGACTCCGGGTCTCTTTCTAATCCCACCCTCCGGTTCCAAGCTCTCATCCCTATGTCCCTCTCATCTTATGGGAGAGCGGACCGGGCAGGAGGGTGTGCCCCGCGAGCTCGTCCGTGGGGTCTCGGGCTAATCAGCGAAGTGTATAAAGTCCCGGGGATGAAAATAAAACTGGCTCGGATCTCGAAAATTAAATAAATGACTCGCCCCGATTTTGCCGGCGAATACCTGGCCCATCGTGAAAGAACCTCGGTAGTGACAGACGGCTGTCGGAATGGGTAGGAAAAACGGATTGGCGAGCGAGCAGGCCAGGGATACCGGAGGAGACGGGGCGTGGCGAACCGAGCGAGATAGACGTGGATAAATAATGAGAGGGAACAAGGAGTGGGGGGATGAGGGTGGCACGGAGGTGGAGGGTTACGCGAGGCAAAGAGGAACCACTTATTCGAATGAAGTTGCAGCGCAGCCAGCGCACCAGCAGCCGCGGCACGGCCGGAAGTGCCGAAAGAGGGAATTGAAGTTTCCTGATATCCCGCGACTGGCGGCGTCGTTGCCCGACGGACGGGTTTCGGCCTAAGAACTGGCCGAGCCACTGAAATTTTATTACGCTCCGCTACGCCCGGTACCGTTTCGTAATGAGAGCATTGTCGTGCAAAAGAGACAGTTCTGGCCACCGTCTCGCCCTACGATCCGCCGGAGACAGTAGTCGCCGCGCTTTTTTCAACTGCTAGGACTCTTTTGTCCTGCGACGAGACGTGGCCGGATTGGCCCGTGGAACACGGTTTGCCCGCTTGTAATTACACCGTCGAAGTTCCACGGCAGGAGACCCCCATCTTACGTTATGCTTGAGGTTAAACGGTGTCTGGCAATTTTCGTATGTACGCGTTGCGTGAAAGGATGGTGAGAAGCTGTTTGGCCTGTGTGTTGCTTGTGAATAATAGTTATGTAAATAATTGACCTTCATTTTGTTCTGTCGGTGGCCATACATGATGAAAGGGTGGAAACAGTGTTCTATATTAAAACGAGAAGCTAAGCGAATACTTAATAACAAACGTAAATTTTTTGTTTTCATCACTCTTCATTATGTATGTTCAAAATATCTCACAAACCCTGACACAGTCGAGGACTGTTCACAAAATCGCCAAGGTTCAAGTTCAACTGTGTACACGACGCAGGGGACACTGAGGTAACTGAGGATGGAGCTGATTGCTCGACGAAGAATAGGGTAGAAAAATATAAGTCACGAGGGTGAACGGAGCAGACCGAGCTCGGGTCGTTAGCGAAGATAGGAGCGGATAGCAGCGGAATGGTAATGGAAACTCGGGGAGTTCCACTTATTATGCCGTAGCATTATGTAAATACCGGAAGGCTATTACAATTTTACAACTTACTAGGTGTAGCTTTATAGTTTCATTGCTTCGGGGCCCGTCTCGCTCTCGTCTTTCGGTCTTCGGTCTCCTCGCGGCCCTAGAACGCTGGACTAAAGTCGCGTACGCGCCCCTAGCTCGACATTACGATTCACCTCCTCTTTCTCTCTCTTCCTCTCTCCCCTCCTTCCGCTTTTCCTCCCCGTCGCCGTTACAAAAATGAAATTGTCGCACGGAAGAAGCCGTATAAATTTCGCCAGGGCTTTAGGAAATCCGCTGCTTCCCGTTTCCTCTCCACGGAAGAAAAGCCTCTCCCGCCTCTCGCAATTTCCGATTATGTGTTTCCCCGAGGATTCGTAATCAGGTGCTTCTTCGCTTAATGAACAGCAAGAAAAAGATATCGTAAAAATATCGTAGCGCATTAATATCGAACACGAATGAAATACCATGCTCAGCACTGGAACGTAAGGCACATATTTTCGCGAGAGCTTCGCAGAGAATGTTTTATTGAAGAGCAAGATTAAAACCTCGAGACCAGTTGCGTCAAGGAAATTAATGAATATTCAATGTTCATGAATAGGGAAATGTATCGCGTGGACAATTAACTGTGCAAATACGGATTTTATAACGCTCTGCATGACCGAAAAATTTACTTTAACAAGAGATATTCATTTGGAGTTCATCTACCCCTTTGTTCTGCAGGTTACGTTATGTTAGATTCGTGGCAGAAACTTTTGTTTAAATTTAATTATTATGGTACAGATATTCCACTCATTCTTTTTAAATCTTCAAAAATTAACAACGTTAAAAATTTATC